CACGGCAGCATACGAGGGTAGAAAAACACACGCTTTGCTTCGGGATACGAGCGAGAGGCACGGAGCTCCGCCCGCCTCGCAGCGCTGCCCACACGTGCAGGGGGACCGCGGGGCTGCGGGCGGCCCCTCCCCAACATGGCGGCCCCTCCCCAACATGGCGGCCCAGCGCCATCTGCCCGCGCCGGATGGTGGGATGGGAGGAGGGGACGGGCGCTCTTCCGCCGGGGCGGGCCGGGTGGCGGCGTGGGGCCTCAGCTCGGTCCGGGGTACGGGGAGGGGGTGACGAGCTGCGGGCGTTGTGCGGCGGTGTCCGCGTGGGGGCATTGGTTCCCCCGCACCTCTGGGTGCTTTTACGCTCCGGAATTCAACCGCGGTAACGAAGCCAAGCCAATGAACGAAAGGTTGTGGGCTTTGGATGGCCGCGTTCCGCGCATTTCATCTGATGTGGTCTGATTGCTTCCCGCAGCGATGGCAGCCAGTCCCATCGTGACGTCTAAGCGGCGGGAGGAAGCGGTCCGCGGGGTCCGCACCGAGGTGGTTTGCACCGCGTTCTCCAACTCCATCCTCGTGGTGGTCACGCAGTACGGCAAGATGGGCACGCTCGTCTACGTGAACCCCGATACCATAGGGGACAACGTTGGCAGGCCTTCGCTCAGCACCAAAGTGCTGCTGGGCAAGGATGAGGTAGGAGCAGATGCGCAGCGCCCCGGCGCCGAGCGAAGGGGAAATGCTGTAGGTGGGGCCGTGCGAGTTGCCAGGGAGCTGATGAATCACAGCCGTTGAGCGGTGTTTGCACGGCGGTCAAAGGGGTGTAAAAATGTGGTCTGGAGGAAGAGGGGCTCCTCTGGAAAATAGGCACGTTCATCTGTTCTCCGGCAGCTTTGTGGGGCCGGTGCTTGGTGCCGTGCAGGGTGTGGGTTGCCTTGCTGTGTTTATGGAAGGTTTGATACAGCTCGTGTTGCTTTAAAGGCTGCGGGATCAAACATACAGCCTCTGATAAGCTTTCCTGGCCTTCTGTTCCAACGATTTCTCCTTCTGGAGTCGCTCTTTTTTCCTCCCCCCAGCCTCCATTTCTGCCAGCCCCATAATGGACTTTAGATGCCCTCTCTGTGCACCTGCCAACACCTGCCCTCGATAAAGTTTAATTTGTTTTTCTCCAACAAAATGAGTTTTTATCGACTGGTTTCACAGAGCTGGAGAGAAAGCAGAAGGAAACGTGTTTTGCAAAGTGTCAGCTGGTCAGGCATTAAAGCAAAAAGTTACAGAGCTACAAGTTTATGAGGCTTTCCATCAGGGTTGGGCTGTCAGATGCTACTTGCTCACCTTAACTAGAAAAGCTGTAACAACACGTAGGTTCTCCTTTCTGTGCCCCTCCATGCAGTTCTCCTTCCTCAACAAGTCTGCTTTCCCTTGGTGGGGGAAGCTTTGCTTTGCCTGGTTGACATGGCTGCTAATTCTGAGCAGTGGCATCTCTGAGCCATTTCTGTGTTTTATTTTGGAGATAGGAAGTGCCTTTTTTACACCGTGTTTTTAAATCATGTGACCAACTTAATCAATTAACTTTAAGAAGGCTTTAATTTGCTGACTTCTTGCTTGTTGCTATGAACGTTTGAGACCATACATACTTCCAAGCTATGCTGGCAGCTAAAGTCAAGCTAGCTCAGCCTTCTAAATGCATAAGTATAGGTGTCAGTAAAGGCAAGTTGGATATTCTTCTTAAAGAAGTCTCACTAAGGAGATGATATTCCTTCTCTTCCCTGCTTCGGCCTCACCATTTATTTCTGGTTTTTATTATTCTGTTAAAATCAGAAACATTTTTTACATGTGCAAAGGCTTTGTGTAATGCCAGTTTGAGGTCTCTAAGACTTAGGAAAACAAGACAGCCTACTTCCAGAGTTTGTCAGCAGAGCGTGGTCTGGTCAGCAACAAGAATATGGTACTCAGGAATCTGGTTATGATGGGAATAGAGGCATTCTGATCATTTTATATAAGTTGGTATTTGGTGCTGTGGGAAGAATTGCAGCAGGGCTCTCAACAGCAGCTTCCCAAACACTCTAAGGCAGTGCAGAACTCCAGCGCAGCTGCAGTTCAGTTGTTTCAGGATGGGCTGTTGGGCAGCCGCTCGCAGGTCTAAACTCTTCTATTTTAAGTCTGTTGAGAAAGTGCCTTCTCAATTATCCCATACCACGGCTTGGCTATGCTGGCCAGCCAAGCTGTGCGTCTGTTTCCAATCACTCTGGAACTGCTCAGCAAGCTAATGCTCAGCATCCAGCACAGGCAGGTTCTCGACGTGCTCCACGAGCGAGTCATTGCAGGGCTCTACCTCTGCTAACTCATGCAGGATGACTTTGCAGGTGCGAGTGTACCTCTGTTTACCTTTGCTTTTCAGCCCCTCGTCCATGTTTGTGCCAAGAACCTGGTGGCATTCGTGTCTCAGGAAGCTGGGAACAAACCTGTTCTTCTCGCTATGGCTTTGAAGGACAAGACCATGGAAGGAATACAGGCTCTACGGGAAGTGATCCGAAGTTGCCAAGTGTGGTGAAGTTGTACCATCTGGATTCAAGGAAATGATCTGGAGTCCATGACTCATCACCACTTCTTTGAGAGGACAAGAAATGAAAATGATGGAATGTCTTTGTGCTGGTTTTGGACACGCTTAGGAATGTGATGAATCTTTCTCTACTGTGTAGAATGGTTGTGGGTTTTCTTCCTGTGACAGGTTTGCGGTCCAGATAGTTGGTGATGAGATGAGAACAGTTGCCTCAATAGACAAGGGAAATGTTATATTTTCACCTGGGGAGGGGTGTATATTTGGGAAACGTCACAGCTCTGCTTTTGTGCCCGAGGAGTGATGGATGCCAAGCTCTGTAGCTACGCTGCACCGCAAAGGGGAACACCCAGTGCAGAGTGAGTAAAAGAAACATTGATGAATCTAATTTTACATGGTTGGTTGTTTTTTTCTTCGCTCTGCAAAAATCACTTCAATTGAAATACAAGCCTCCGTAACAAATAAACAGCAATTGCATAATAGGAAAGATTTTTTTCTTGCCTGCTTTTCTTTTTTTTTTTTTTTAAGGGAATTACTTCTATATGACTACTTGTATCCTTATGTCATTTTCCTCCTGATGTATGCTGAATCTGCTCTTCGTTTTCAGTTGCGTTTTGAAGAGAGGTAGATAATTGCAGTGTTCCAATTTCATGAAAACTGATGACAGGATGGCAGAAAGGATCCAAAATTAATGAGAAAAAGGCAAAATATCGGTTGTTTCCGTATGATGTGTGGTAGTAGCACTTCAGAGAGACAGCCTGTGCATTGCTCTGGGCCACCTGCAGCAAGCTGCCCTTCTCCTGAAGCACTGTCAGAGCAGACATGGGGACAGAAGGGCTTTGGAGGTTACACAGTGGGGTGTTGGCTGAGTCCATTAAAAGAAAGTGCTCTTATGCGAGGTCAGACGAGTGAACGCAGTGCTGAACAGCCCAACTTGTGCTGTTTGCTCGGAAAGCACGTTTGTTTTTTCCTCTTCTTGGAACAGGTAGCACCAAGTAGTCAATTTTAAAGTAAGCTGTTGCACACTTTTGTCACTTAGGAACTTGACTGAGCAGACCAAGGCCAGGTCTTGCCTTCAGATTCAGGGCAGAAAAGACCTGTGCTGTGCTGGTACCCATCAGTGTCAGCAGAATCAGCACAGACCCTGTCCGTTCCCCATGCAGATCCTATTGCTGGATCATTACTGTTGCTAAAAAAAATCCCATAAAAGTACAAAAGCAGAAAATACATTTCGAAAGGACTTTTTCCTCTGAAGTAATGTTTTTTACAGCATTTTAAAGGATAACGAGAAATGAAACATTTTTTTAAGAGTACATTCAAAAACTGCAGGCTTGCAGCTGCCCTTGACAGAAATTTCATCTAAAAATAATTTTCCAAACTGTGCTTCCAAGAATCAAAAATTTGCATCTGTCAGAACTCCAAATTTTCCCTCTTTTACATTTCTTCTTTTTTTTTTTCTTTTTTTTTTCTTTTTTCAGCCTAGGAGGGCTCACAGAGCCATGTGGAGTTTGTTAACGTTGCTCTTTGCTAGTGGAGATCTCTTCCCAATCCAAAATGCGGTGTTTCCTGACCCCTGCTGCTCCTATGATGCCCTTTTAGCTCCAGTGAGTTTATAAACCATGTATGAGTTGTGGTTTACATTGAATTGGCCATCTTGCACTGTGGTGATACGCTGCCTCACTGCTTCTGTGCCCTGAAAACCTCATGCGTTAACACCTGAAAGCTGACCCTGGTTTACTGCCATGCTTTCCTTGTTCTTTTTGCAACCAGGTCTGCACGCAGCGGTGAGCAAAGAAAGGACGTGGCACTCTCTCCTGTTTGATGCTCAGAGCCACAGCGTCTCATCTGGCTGCCTCTCTGCAGGCGATAAGTCAGACCACGAGCAGCTGGTCCTTCAGGTTTGCTCTGTTCTGCAGTAAACCAAGGGAAGGCCTGTCCCAAAAAACAGCCTCCCCAGCCTGGCTGCTTGTACAACCAGATGTCTGCCTTTTAGTCATCGCTATCCTCCAGGAGGAATTAATTCTCAATCGCAACAAGAACTGCTTTTGCCACCCAGGCAGCGCTCACCACAAACGCAGGGCAGCAGCTCCGGAGCCTTCCAGCCTTGTTTGCTTTCCGGGCGTGAGTGCTAAACGGGGCAGACTGGAAAGGTACGTTCGGCAGCTTTTCTGCAGGATGTAAAGCCCTACCTGCCGCCCCAGCTGCTATGGGGAGGGCACAGAGGGCCGGTGCCGAGCCCCTTGGGGTGCAGCGAGGGAGGGCTGGCGGTGTCCTGCTGGGAAGGTGCCCGGAGGAGGAGTCTGTGCTGGAGGAGGGCACAGGGGATGCAGAAGCAGGTGCACGGCGGGACGCAGCCACGGCCTGCAAGTGGAGGAGCCCCGCAGGGTGAGTGGAGCCTCGAGATCGGGGCACGATGGCCGGCAGGGCGGAGGTTGGCCCCGTGCACCTGCGGGTGGTGGGGTAGAGCCTGTGGTATGGGCTTGACAGAGGGCTGGGTGCTGCTCTGCCTTGGTTATGTGTGCTATAGGTGCTTCCTCCTGGTGGTGTGGGGGTGGTATAGAGAGGCTGCTCGTAAACAGCCCCGAGCTGGGCTTTATCTGGATGCAATCAGCAGGAAAGGAGTGCCTGATGCTGGCAGGACGCAGCCTGGCCGCTCCCATCCCTGGGTGCAGATCAGCCATCTCCCCTCACCAGCAGCGTGGCCTGGGCACAGCGATCCTGCAGACAGCCTGCCCAAACCCAGCGCACTGTCCATGGTTTTCGGTTCAGCTTTCACTGAGCGCCTCCAGTATCCAGGGATTGAGCAGAGCGGGCAGTCGGAGCACAGCAGGTGTCTGCCCCGTGTCTAAGAGCTGCCTGTTGGGATGTGCCATCCTGTCGAGCTGAGTTTTGGGGCTAAAATTACCCTCACACCTCCTGGCTGCCTTTGTTTTGGAAGCAAATGGGCCCTTGGCTGCATTGAGTTGCCCGGCTATGTTGCACGGCCGGGATCTGGTTACCTCTGGAGCTGGGAGCCCTGTCTCTGAGTGGCACTGAGGCTTTTGTTTTTAATGACTTGCTGCGACGCGTTAAGAGTTTTACAATGCAGGAGAGCCTGCCAGGAAGGCCGCTGGTGCCGAGCTGCTTGCTGCACAGCCGGGCTGTGAAAGCTAATAGGAGCTGGGACAGCTTGGGCCAAGCATCTGTGGCACGGCGCCGGGCTGAAGGCAGAATAAATGGGTCTGGAGCTGAACACAGCTCTCTGCCATGTCCCACGGAGCAAGCCCGATTGTGCTCTTCCTTAGCACAAAGCTTGAGGAGAGTGAGAACATCCAAACCTGACTTAGGGCATCCCCAAAACAAGCTGTGGGGAAGGGTCTTGCCACGGAAGGGTCCCAATACGGCTTCCTCCCTCCTGCCTGTACCGCCAGCTCTCCCTGGCCTCCTGTTAATGTTTACAAGGGCTGTCCAAAGAACAGATCCCTCCCCGGGATCCTGCTTCCTGCCGGCCTGGGCAGGGTGACGACAGCTGCACAAAGGAAAACCCTCAGCTCCTGCTGCCCTGAGAGCCCAACTGCAGCTGCAGGTACTCCCTGGGACCCGGCCACCAGCAGCACCCACTGGGCATCTCCCCTTACAGACTGCGGGAGGGGTCTGGGGGAGGTATTTTTAGGGGTGCTGATCTGATACCGGCCGAGTTTCCTTCCCTAGAGGTTGGGGTTTGTGGAGAGGGAGCTGCCAGGCGAGCTGGGCTTTGGGCTGTTTGCTGTGTTCGAGGGGATCAAGGTTGTCCCCTGCCACAATCATCTCTGGCAGATATTTTCTTGCCTCTCACCATTCTCTACTTACAGGTTTTCCTCTGGGTGATAGTTACCCAGCAGCTAAAATCTTTGTTTTTTAACAATGTGCTGAGGAGTGTCTACATTATTAGAGCTCTGCTTGCTGCTTTTTTTTTTTTTTTAACTGCTGTTGTTATATGTGTGGAAAAAGCAGGTTTCCATAGATAGCTCAAAGAGAGGCCAAACATGGCAGTCTGTGCATCTGTTGGCCTTGAGATATGAAGCTGCCCTATAAATAAGAGTGTATTATTAGTTTGGTCCTTGCTGGCTGAGCTGCAGAGTGCTTTGTGCTGGGAATGCTGGGGTGAGAGTCTTTGAGGAAGGCAGAGCTGCCCACGAGGATGCTGCAGAGATGCAGGATGCTCCAGCATCCCCCAAACCCCACGCTGCTGCCTGGGCTGGCACACCAGAACCTTGAGGTCATGAGATGGCTGAGGTTTGCTGCCTGGCTGAACGCCCTGGGTGATGCCAAACCTCCTTCTTCTGATGAACCCTGGAGCTGGCCACTAGCAGGTCACTCAGAAAGAAAGAAGCCAAATGTGGGGGTGGACCACAAGGACCTCGGTGTTCTCTGGGCTCCCAGGATAATGATGTGAGCACATTGTCCATAGGGATGTCAGTATCCTGACAGCTTGTTGATAAGGGGATGGTTTTAATCATGGAATGAGGTGATATTGATGCTTAAGTCTCTGGTGCCCAGTGGGAGAGGTCCTGAGCTGCAGGTGAGAATACCTGAGAGCAAGAGTGTGGGCAGATCTTTTTGTTTCCTAAGGGATGGTGACCCCAGAGAAAACCAGAGGGAGTGCGACTGAGAGGAAGAAGTGTGTATTTTAGGGGTTGTGGAGACTAGAGACACCTTGCAGACACAAGGGTCTGCTCTTGAACATTTGCATTTTCCTGCTGAGAAGCAGCCCTGACCATGGAGAATAGGCTGGCTTGGGAGAGGGCCACGCTGGGAAAGGCGTGGGGAGGAGAAAAGCTCACTGGAGATTTGTGGGCTGGGAAACTTGCTGGGATCTTCCCCCTCACCAGTTCACCTCCATCCCACACCACTCCCCGTGCCTCTCCCTCCCACAGATGAGTAATGCCACCCATGCTTGGCCCTCTCCTGCGGCGCCCAGCTCTCCAGGGCCGGGCACAGCTGCCAGGCTGGCCTCCGCCACCCCATCCTCAGCCCTCACCCTGCTCACAGCTGCTCACAACGACTCCAAGGATGGCCAGCAGCTCTTCCTGACCACAACAACAGCACGGGTCATCTCCGGCATCTTCGTGTGGTCGGCACTCGTCATCACCTTCCACCAGGTATGGACAGGACGGAGTCACAGCTTTGGGTCCATGCTGGGGCAAAGCCATTGTTTCCCACCATCTCACTGCAAATCCTTACCTCCAGGTGGGTGTTTCCTCCTGCAGCTGGTGGAGGGGAAAACTCTGCATCGGGAGGGGTGGACTTTACCCTGTGGCTGCTGGAGCTGGGAGAGGCACAAGGCAGCACTCAGTGGGAGCTCATCTAGCACCGCGCAGCCGTGCCTTTGGGCATGCAGCCTTGCAGCACCCCATCAGTAGGCACATTCTGCGATGCTGCACAGCCACACAATGCTGGGGCTGCCCCAGAGCGAGCCACTGCCTCAGAGCAGCAAATTAAGCCCAGACTCATCAGTCCTAGCCACAGCTCTGCACAACGGGCACGCTCTCCCTTACAGATCTACACGCACCTGAAGAACTACACCATCCCCAAGGAGCAGCGCTACATCATCCGCATCCTTTTCATCGTGCCCATCTACGCCTTCGACTCGTGGCTCAGCCTCCTGCTCCTTGGCAGCCACCAGTACTATGTCTACTTCGACTCAGTGCGCGACTGCTATGAGGGTGAGCACAGGGCAGCTACGTCAGCAGAGATGCTAACAGCACAGCAGGGCTCTCCTCTGCCCTGTGTCTCTGGAGCATCCTGGCTTGCACACAGTGCTGGATCCCCATTGTTTTTGCTTTCAGCTCCCCCCGCCACCATTTGGAGCTTTCCCCCTTCCTGCTCCATCAGCAGGAGGGAGAGGAGGGCCACGGGGCACCTGCAGGCTCTGAGTGCCCAGCATCTGGCCACATTCCCAGGGGAAAGGATTTCTGCCTACCTTTGAGGTAGAAAAACTGTTGTTCCAAAGGAAAAGGCAGACTTACCTACAAAATCAGGCAGTTGGGATGTTTTGAGGTGCAGAGAAAGCTTGTGAGTTGAGTTTAATGTCCTTCCATGAAGGTCTTTGGCCATTGCACTCCTGCACATGCTCAGATGTGCATCCTTGGGTGCTGCCAGTACATCCTATGCCCAACACATTCTGTGCATGCAGGGGTTGTGTGTGCATGGTGGAGCTGCTGTGTCTGCAGCAAAACACATTTACTCTGTAGACGTGGCACAGTGCATCTGGCTGAGGTGTATTGAACCTGCTGGTGGCCTTCTACACACCCATGCCATTGTCCCAAACCCTGATAACATGCTGGGTGGATGAGGAAACATCTGAGCAGGAAGATAAGTGAAATTTAAGGCCCCCCCCGATCTCTACCACCAGCTCTGCTGACCATGTCTGCTCTTTCCTTGCCAGCTTTCGTGATTTACAGCTTTCTGAGCCTGTGCTTTGAGTACCTTGGTGGGGAGAGCACCATCATGACTGAGATCCGAGGGAAACCCATTGCGTAAGTGGTGGCACACCACCAACTCCTCAGCCCTCTGCCTGTTTTCCCCATCCTGTTGCCCAACAGCATCTCCTTGGCTTTTGCTTCCAGGTCTAGCTGCTTGTACGGGACCTGCTGCCTCCAGGGCATGTCCTACTCCATTGGCTTCCTGCGCTTCTGTAAGCAGGTGGGTACCCAGTGGGGAGCACTGCAACACCCCTCCACAGCAAGGGGTGGGGGCTCTTGGGGCTGTGTTGCAGTGGGTCCCTTACCCAAAGGCAAATCTCACCCAGATGCTCATTATTTTTCTCTCTGTCGGCACCTGGCCAGCAGCAGGGCGCTGCGCTTGCTGTCCTTGCTCTGACTCACTGCTGAGTCAGGGTCCCCTCCCACTGCAGCTCTGAGATTTTTATCTCTGCCTACTCTCAGGTTGGCTGGCCGGCTCCCTGACTGCCCAGTGCTGCGCTGCAGGCTGGAGGCACCGTTCTGTCCCCGAGCCACCCCCTCCTCGGAGTGGCTATGCTGATTTTTGGGAGCGCTCAGGGTGCACAGCCTTGCTCCCTCCTGTCTGCTGGTCCAGATCATTCCTGCAATGGAGAAGCACTTGTTCCTCCATCCCAGCAGCAGAGAGTTGGCTGTGGTGGGGCTCGGGGGGCAGGAGGTCGCTACTGCCCTGTTCATGGTGTTTCTCCCCTGTGCAGGCCACGCTTCAGTTCTGCATTGTGAAACCCCTCATGGCAATTGTCACCATCATCCTGCAGGCGTTTGGGAAGTACCACGACGGGGACTTCAAGTGAGGATGCTGGGTGGGGCTGAGAGGAGTGCATCTCCTGGGGGAAGGGGACTGGGTGGTCCCTGCTCCATCAGAGGGGATGGGGGACCTGCTGGCCTTCCCCAGGTAGCGAGACCACACGGAGCCCAAGAACAGCCCCACTATCCCCAGGCAAGATTCGAACCAAACACCCAAGGGCCAAAATACAAAAGTGACAGCAGCCTCTGTTCCCCCTCCTACCCTTCCACAGCTGGGCTGGGCTGGGCTGCCCCCCCACGGCACAGCCATGCACAGCCCCCTGCTCCTGTCCTTCCCTCTTTGCCCCCAGCTGTGTTCACTCAGCAGCTTGCTCTCCCCCCGCAGTGTCCGAAGTGGCTATCTGTACATCACCATCATCTACAACTTCTCTGTCAGCCTGGCTCTTTATGCCCTCTTCCTCTTCTACTTCGCCACCATGGACCTGCTGCGCCCTTTTGAGCCAGTCCTCAAGTTCATCACCATCAAGGCTGTCATTTTCCTCTCCTTCTGGCAAGGTGAGTCCCAGCCTTCTTGTGCACCACGCAGCCCAGGGGGGTGGTCCAGAGCTGATCCCTCTCCTATTCCCTGCACAGGGACACTGCTGGCAATCCTGGAGAAATGCGGGGTGATCCCCGAAGTTCAGATCATCGATGGGAAGGAGGTGGGGGCTGGGACTGTGGCTGCTGGATACCAGAACTTCATCATCTGCATTGAGATGCTCTTTGCTTCCATTGCGCTGCGCTACGCTTTTAGCTGCCGGGTGTACAGAGAGAAGAAAGAAAACTCAACAGGTAACTGTTCCTCTCTCCTGCCTTCTTTCACCAATGGGTAGGGAAAAGGCAACCTATTGCAGCACTACAATGGAATGGTAAAAACAGTAAAGGAGCCCTCTTTTGTGCTCCGTGAGTTTCTTCTTCCTCTACTGCTTGTGACAGGAGGAGATACCTTGGTGTGGACAGGCAGAATTAGGGCATTTTGGTATAACAGCACACACAGCTGGAGAGGATCCACCCTCTTCGAAACATAGGGCTGGATTTGCCATCCTCCTCCTCGGTGCTCACCACTGTGAGCTCCATTGTCCCACAGTGAGACGTGGCCCACGGTGAGGCCACGATTTTGAATTTGTAGGGAAATACATCACTGCAGTGTTAAAGCACTGGGACTATTGGCCATCTGATGCCCCATCACTTCCTGCTCTGTTTTTCAGCAAACCTTGCCCCGATGCAGAGCATCTCGAGCGGGCTGAAGGAGACGATGAGCCCGCAGGACATCGTGCAGGATGCCATCCACAACTTCTCGCCCACCTACCAGCAGTACACCCAGCAGGCCATGCAGGAGGCAGAGCGCAAGGCGCCGGATGAGAACGGGCACGTGGCCTGCAGGGCAGAGGGAGCAGGAGGCAGGAAGAGCAAAAACATCGAGAAGAGAGTGCTGATCCTGTCGGACGAGGAGCTGTAGGAGATATCCGAGGGGACAGAGACATTGGAGAGGCTTAAATGCAAGGAAGGGGGGACTCTCGAGGCTGTGACAACCTGGTCATGTTGGCACGCTGGAAGGAGGAGAGCCAGGAACTCTACTCATAAAGCCAGTTCCTAAAAGGGAAGATGCAATAACCGGGGAAAGGTTAAAATAGTGCCAGCTTCTGACTCATCTCTGAGGTGTTAGGGACTGTGCTCTCTGCTTCACTGCCAGTCTGGGTGCCAGCCCTGTGCCCATACCCCTGCTGGGCTCCCAGTGAGCCAGGACCGCCCCAGTGCTGTTGGGCAGACTGGCCTCCTCACCCTGCTCTTACCTCCAAACAGCACCGAGACCTGACAAAAATGCTTTTCTCAGCACAGTTCTGCTCTAGTTTCTCCTGATTTGGGTAAAAAAATGATCTCCAGGGCCCCATGGAGAAAAGCAGTGCAGGAAGGTGACTTCAATTCACCTCAAAACCTGGTAAAATTTGAAAGACATCATGCCTTATTTTTATGTTTTCCTCTCTACTTCCCTTCAAAAAGCCCACAGAGCTGTACAGGAGCCCTTTACCAGGAGGAAGAGCAGCTCATCCTCCTCGGCCTCCAGATGGGGATGCAGCTGCTGGACCGGATCTCCTGGGATCAGAAGTGGGACCTCTCCTGGACCTCACCGCACGGTCCTGCAGCTGCATTCCTGAAGGCTGCAGTGACAGAGGAGCTTGTTTATGTCTGAACCCATTTATCTGCAAGCGGATCAGGAGTTAAAAGGGATTCCAGCTTTCTTATCAGAGCCATTAGGGAACCAGACTGTGACTGGTGGTGGTAGGAATGCACCGACCGGGAACTGTCTGTTCCTCCTAACTCCTCTCCATCCCCTGTCCCTACCCTGCATGCAAGAAGCAAGTGCTGCAAGACCAGAATCAGCGGACGCTGGAGGCCCTGGGGAACTCAGCTGCATTGAGGGCTGTGTGAGCCATTTCCCAGAGCACCACAGCATCCCACAAATCCGTCGCCCTGCCTGGGCTCTGAGAAGGCACGTGGGGCTGAGCCACTGAGACAGATTTTCTCTGTCCTGCTAAACTTCCTCTCCAGTTTTATTTTCTCCTATTTCTGTTCCCCTGCTGTTAATCAGATGATCCCCTAGGGAACTTCTTCGGGCACCAGCCAGCTGTTGGCTGGGGTGGGAGCTGGGCAGTGGAAGGACAGGGGCAAGTCTGGAGCCTTTGATTTGCAGTCACATGGCAAACAAGCCTACGGGTGAGGCTTATAGCTGTTTTACAGCTCCTAGTATTGTTTTATTCCCTGCTCTTGAGCTGCAAAGTGTAAATTGCAAGAGGAAATTATTTATGATTTTTTTTTTCTAATAAACAGCAATTTCTACCATGGGCTGAATGAGCGTTTTCACTTAGCTCAGCGAGCAGAGCCCGCACTCTGCCCGCTCCTGCTCTAATGCTGATGCTCTTAAGCTGCACGTCCTCCCTGCCCCTTGGTGCTGGCCCAGCAGAAATACCTGCACACACAGCATCCTCCACACTCCGACGTTCCCACAGGGCTCGCGCTCATCCCTCTCCCTCCACAAGCAGTGCGTCCCCCCCATGCACCTCCTCCAAAGCTGTGGATGCAGCAGTTCTGAGCTGCTGGGTCCTCTGCAGCCGAGCCAAGCCCAGCAGCAACAACACAAATCTATGTATTATTATCAGAAGTATTTTATCATGCTGGAAACGTGGAGCCAACACAGGCAGGCTATGGCTGAGCCAGTCTTGCAAGCCCTCTGCTCTGGAGATCTGCTGCCTGTACCTGCCCAGCCCGTGAGGTTGCTGTTTTGTGTCAGCTGGCCTGTAAACAAGAGCCGAGCAATTGGCACATCCAGGGAGCTGCCACCAACAAGGCTTGACTTGGGTGCAAGCCTGACAGGGAAGCAGGGCCACATCTCAGCAAACATCTCCATCTTCTGAGCCCCTCTGTGCTGCAGCTGCGGGGACAGAAGCAGCTTCACCCCCTGGGTGAGGACAGACTGCGAGGTGATGATTGGGCATCTGCCAGCGTGCTCGCGGGATGCAGACTGGCATAAGAACACAGCAAGAAGCGTGGCTGTACTTCATTGCACAAATGATCAACTCCAGCACATAATGGGCTGCATTCATTGCTCTTGCCAGCAGGTGCAATTCCCACTGCAGACGGTAACAACTGCCTATTTATGTCAAGTCCTGATTACTGTATTATATGTAAAACAGGTCTTTCTCACAAGCAAAACACTGAGGGGAAAAAAAAAGCACCAAACCAGCTGTGGTGCACCCAAGCCTGCAGAACAATGCTGGCCCCAAGGAGTGCACTGCTATGGCCTGGGCCTTCAGCCTGCAAGGCTCAGAGCTCAGAACGCCCCAACGGGTGCCGAAATACCAAAGGTGTCCCTGGCAGAACGTGTCCTCCAGCATGGTGCTGCTCCATCCCTGGGATGGGCACGATGTCCCACCTCCCTCTGCCATCACCAGCTCCTCGCTGTCCTCTCCATGGGCTGGAGCTGAAGCAGGGGACGGTGACCTTCACAAGCTTGCTCCTCACAGCACCAGCAATCCCCTGGCTCGCCCTGCATCCCCACTCCATGCTCAGGAGCTGGGTGAGGAGGCAGCCAGCCCCACCTGTAGCACCGCACATCCCCAGTCCCACTGCTCATCCATACACTGCCCTACTTCCATCACTGGCCACCTCTATGCGACACGCAGCCCTGGCCCAGCGCAGTGCACGTTTCCCCCTTTTTAGCTGCCCCTAGAAACAAGGGCTGCCCATGGAAGGGGATCAAAGCCCAGGCGGTTCCCAGCTCTGCCACTGCTTTAAAGCTTGGATGAAGCGACAGGGCAAAAGAGAAGGATGAAATATCGATCGAAGGAATTAAAGCTGTTTATTCCCCAGCAGTTGCACAGGAAGCACCGAGGGATATTTCATAACTCCACGGCGAGGGGAGCGGCTCCCTCCAGCACCGTGACCTGTTTCACAGCACGAGGTCTCCAAGCCAAGTCCCACGGGGCGCTCCCAGCACCGCCACCGCGGCAGCTCCCACGTGCTCTGGGCAGAGAGCACAAACACACACCAGGAAACACGATAAGCGTGAGCCCTGGGGGAGCAGCAGCTCGGACCGGAGCACGGCCCAAACACATGGGAACAGCAGCACAGCGGGGCTGGGAGGCGGTCAGGCTCAGCCGCTTGCAGGAGCATCCACACTCAGCCTGCGTCCCAAAACCACCGCAGCCAGCTGCTCAAGGTGACGAGCAAGGAAAACGCCCCTGAAAATCAATGTGAGCTCCAAAACGCTGACCATACACCAGGGCAAGTCTGAAACCAGAAAATGCTTTATTGGAAAGGTACAAAAAAACCAGTCACTGCAGCTAAATTTACAGCAATAAATTACGTTGTGGCTGTCAAGAGAAAGTAATGGACACATACACAGGGCTACTCGCCTTACAAACAGGAATCCACATTGCTTGGTATATCAATAATTTATTTTATAATAAAAAAGCAGCACAAAAATAAATATTGAAATGAAATTACTGAGTAACCACAGAGGATAGAATGAGCTGGTGATAAAAAAAAAAAAAAAAAAAAAAAAAAAAAAACCAACTTAAAACAGAAGACTTCTATCATTAAAAAAATGAAAGCAAGTATCCACCATCTACGGAAACACCCCAGCAGACTGAAATACAGACGAAGGAAAACAAATCCACGTTACAAAAGTTTTTCGGTTTTTTTTTTTTGTTTTTTTTTTTTTTTTCCTTTTTGTTTGTTTCTTTGTTTTAAATAAAAACAATCATGACGACAAAGTTTAAATGATTTGAGAGAGGAAGAAATAAAATAAAATAAATGCCACTTTCTCCTCCTCCCCGGGTCCGAGCCGTGCCGCAGCCCAGCCCTGCTGCGCTGTCAGCCGGGGCACCGCGGTCTCCTCCGTCAGATGGCAGAGCTGGGCGAGAGCTGAGATGCTGACTTGCTGTGGGGGGGTCTGAAGGTGCCCTGGAGGGAAAGGTTTCCCCACTGCCACTGGAGAGCTCAGCAAAGACACCTAAGAGACCAAGGATGTCGCTCCCGGCGCTGCCCCAAGGTACCCGGGTGGATGCGTCGGGCCGTTCCCAGCATCCCAAGGTACCCACATGGTGCTGCAGAGGGGGAAGAAAGGCCCGGGGGAAGAGCATCCCAGCGCTCGGCCTCAGTGCGCCTGCACCTCGGGGAACAAGGAGGGGCAGAGAAGGGAGCCCAGCATCCGAAATACCGCAGCCAACGGAGGCGGCAGGGAGCGCCCAGTGACCCCGCAGCAGCAGCCGGCTCCCTGCGCCACGCTCAGCCTGGGTTCAGGCTTGCAAGGGCAGGACGGAGAGAAACGAAACAGAATAGCAACAACAACAAAAAGAAACAAACGGAAACAAACCAAACCCCAGAGGAATGCAATGCGACAACCCCAAGCTGCAGGGCCCTCCGGGGCGGAGGGTGGAGGAGTTGGGTCTCCACGGTGGTCAACAGCTTTCGGGTCATTCCTCCCTCCACGTTACCTTGCAATTCTGATCCCTCTGTGGAAGTTTAGCCAGGACATTTCATTCCCCTCCAGGTCACCACCCAGGGAGGGAGCCCTGGACCGGCGATTTCTTTTTAATAAAGATTTACAGTATCAAACTTGGAAAAAAAATTATCTTTTTTTTTTTCTTTTTTTACGAAAAATCTGTACGATAAAATGTATATAATTATATATTTATATATATATTTCTCTCTCTTTAAATATTTCCACGTGGTCCTTATGGATATCCAATATGGATTACCTACCATGGCTATGGTATCAACAGCTTTAACAACACCCAGGCCTCTTGTTCTTAACCGAGTGACCAGAGATTGAAGTGCCTACCAGCACCAAACTAGCAATCACTTGGACAAGCCTTTGGCACCCTTCCAAGAACTGGAAAAAAACAAACAAAAAAAAAACCACAAGAAATACTTGGCCACAAGGGAAGTGCCACATCTTAAAGATATGTTTCTCAACAGCAAGAAGACCCCACGGAACAAAGTTCAACCTCCATCCCCCTCCGTGTCGCTGGTCTGATTTCCCTGGCAGGGGCCAAGGGCAGCCCAAGGGTGTTCCTATCAAGCCAGGAATGTTATGGAGCTCTGGAGCTGTTCTAAAGACTGGAAGCATTTGGGCATTTACGAGTCAACTGGCCTTTTTTTCGTTAAAGTTTTCATTTAAAGCCCCAACAGTGCCAGGAGTCTCCATTTTTGCCTGTTTTCGGAGGCACCTGTAAGGTCTGGGAAAGTTTCCAATGTTTGTGAGCTGGAGAACATGAGAGGACCAGGAAATGACAGTAACATTTTTCTCTTCCTCAGCTTCTGCTGTGGGAGTCAATAACTGGTACTGATACACAGGACATCAATCTGCCCGTTAGGAGATAGGGAGGGAGTGGAGGAGAAATGAGGTAACGCTAAGTGTCATCCAAACTCTGCGCCTTGGAAAATCACTTGAAGGAAACTCCCTGCTCCCCTCCGGCACGCGCGGCTCTGGCAGGGGTAAGAAGCCTTCGGGAGGAGGCTCACCTGCCCCTTCCCAGCTCCGAAGGTCATGAGCACAGGTGTCGAGGACCGAACAAGAACCGAGGCTGAGGCTCCTCTTTTCATTAACCTATTTCACAAAGGACCCTCTCTGGGGAATCCAGAGACTCCAATGACAAGGTGGGAAAAAAAAAATAAAAGAAAAAGCAAGCTAACTTCTTCCAAAGGCAAAGAGGGCTCCACTGGAAGCCTACCAACGTACTGCCCCCAGACAACGGCTCGCACGGGGCGGCGGATGCCAGCATACTGTCTCCTCTGCGACAGCGCTCGATTAGCTCTCTTTCAGTCCAAAACACTGGTGAACTGCCCGCCATCTCTGGCTTCTATTCCACAGCCCAAGTCCTCCAAGCTCTGCTCCTCACCTCATCCATCAGCAGTCTCATTCTCTTCTCACCTGCACGACAACAGGCATCGTCCATCCCACAAGTCTCTGCCCTGCAAAACTCACAGGCCCTTTTTCTTTCCTACTTCAAACAGAAAATTAAAAATAAAACACAACAGAACACACGAACACCAACATAGCTATTTTTTTTTTTACAGTGACCTGGACACATTCATCTTTTCAGCGCTGCTGTGTGACAGCAGAATTCCTCCTCTTGGCTTCCCACTTCCTGCCCATCGCCGGGCCAGAAATCCCTCTCCCAAACCACTGCTCAGAGCCACACGCACGACTTCTCGGTGCCAACTCTTCCATTCCCTATGCACACGGATTTCCACCCTGCCCCCTGCCGGGGCAGTTCACACATTCCCAAGAGGAAGCGTCAAGTTTCGGGCTCGCATCCACGCAGGTTGTCTGAATACTGCAGAACGGAATCGTGCAGCTCCCAGCCAACCTCCCCATGACCCTTCCCTGGTCAAACAGAGCCCAGTGAGCCCAGCCCTGCAGCCGGGATGCTCCCTGCTCACCTACCAACGCTTCCACCAAGGAGGAGGCTCTAACTCCTCCTGTCTGTGCTATGGCCCTCTAGTTACACTTCAGTGCTTCTAAAACATCCTTCCCAAACCTTCTGCACAAACCCTTTCTCACAGTGCTGATCCCAGCAGAACAGCCCCCCTGCCTTGCAGTCAGTTCTGCCTCCATCTGGTAATACTTGCAGCCTTTTCTCTTCCTCGCCTCCCCTTCTCCTCCCCACCACACTGCTCTTCACAGCATCTACCGTGCCTCCTTCCCTTAAGCTTCAGGGAATCCAGAAAAAAAAATAAAATAAGCCGCTATTTCAAGACTGTGGATCATTTGGAAGAAATACACTGCATAAATAGACCCAATTCACAGGACACCTTAGGGAAGGAGCTATTGGGAAACATGGGCTTGGAATAAAGGAGGCTGCAATGTAGTTTTTCACAGGCCACACAGGTCGTGAGGCGTATTAAAATATGTAAAATATATATTTTTCCATATTTTAACAGCATGGATTGAAAACAAAAGGTTATTCCTAGTGGGTGTGGTCAGACCCAAGCGTTAATCTCCGTCATCCTCCCCCTCCCATCCACTCATAGCAGGATGAGATTCAAACCAAAATGCCTGTTTCCCTGCCCTCGGAACAGCAGATGGAAGTGGGGAGGAAAGGGGAGACCCTTCTGACAAGGAGTAGGATGCCACTAAAGGAAACTCTTTTCCATACATTCATCTCACACGATGATTTCTACGGTCCATCTGTTTCCTGGCTCTTGAGCATCATTCACGAAGGCTCTGGAGGCTCCTCAGGTATCTTCTCCCAGCTGGAACGCTGCTCACGGCTGCGAGGGGCTCAAGGAAGCAGGGACAAGGAAGTAGATCTTGCAACTTGTACTGCAGACAGAGCTCAAATCCTGGACACGAGGGGTTGATGGAGCCACCGAGTCCAGAGAGAAGCAGCCAGTTAAGTTCCCTTTGTAGGTATTTTTTCTTTTCTATTTTCTTCCTTCCTTACTTAATTTATTTAATTTTTCTTTTTCTAATTTTTTTTTTTTTTTTTTTTTTTGCACTTTCGGAAGAGAGTTGTTAAGATGCCAATTCTTGACGTGACCAAGAACTCCGGAACAATGCATAAGAGCCTCCTCCCCCCCCTCTGAAAGGCCGCTAGTTCCCCCACCGAGGGCACTAGGACGCTGCTGAGAACGGCACGGAACTGGATGAGATTTCGGCTGATTTCACGATGGTGATGACACTGGTGGTGGCAACTTTGGTCGGGGTAATGGGCCCTCGCGCCACAGTACGAGCAAAGGTCTGGAGTGCTTCGTACTTGGAGCGCAAGGCGTCCAGCTCTAGCTTCATGCTGCTGTTTTCTCTGGCCAGCTTCTCCACCTCTTGCTGCAGCTCAACCCGCTGCCTCTCCAGCTCCTCTTTCTGAGTCACGCGCTTGATGCGGCAGCTGGCGGCGTAGCCCCGGTTCTTCAGCGTGCGCCTCCGCTGCTTCAGACGGATGACCTCCTCTTTGGTGAGACCCCGCAGGTGCTGGTTCAGCTCCCGTACGGACATTGACACGAGTTCATCATCGCTCAGCACTGGGGCATTCTCTCCCGACTCCTCCTTTACCTGCAAACACCAACGGCACAGGGGTAGCGGCGGCCCTGCAGGAGAGGCCGATGGGGACAGCAGAGGCTTTCCCTCAGCACCCTACTGGAAATGCCCCAAAGCACTTCACAGAGCCTGTGCTCCGCTCAGACACTGCCACGGTGGGGTGACGCACGGCAGAGAGGCAAGCACTGCCCCCACCTGGGTTCAGGTCACCCTCTCATGTCAAGGACAGCAATGAGCCTTATAGGAGCACAGAATCACAGAATGGCCTGTGTTGCAAAGGAGCACAATGCTCATCCAGTTCCAACCCCCTGCTGTGTGCAGGTCGCCAACCAGCAGCCCAGGCTGCCCAGAGCCACATCCAGCCTGGCCTTGGATGCCTGCAGGGATGGGGCATCCACAGCCTCCTTGGGCAACCTGTGCCAGTGCCTCACCACCCTCTTTGTGAAACTTACTTTGAACTGAACAGTGACATTTTTAAGGAAACAAAAGGACATGGAAGTCTTTTGCATTCCTTTGTCAGGAATTCACACTGAATCCCACAGGGGACACCTTTTATCAGCACCGTGCTGGCACACCAGTGCAGTAGTCTCACAAGCAGAATAGCCACTTGTGTGCAGGGTTTCATTCCACATTTTGTGGCTTTTCATTGAACACTGCTCATCTGAGTGTTGAACAAAACCAAGCTTGCTTGGCTTCACTTGGCCTGACTTGGTTGTCCTGACTCTGAAGGCACACAAGAGAAATACCAAGGGCTCGTGCTTTTCTCTGAAGAATGTTTGCTACCATGGCTATCTTCAGAACCTTTTAGACACTATTATTCTATCTCTTCACAGACTGTAGATACCTGGAACGAACTGCCAGGACACAAGAAAAAATACAGCAGAGCATGAACAATGCACATGTGGTCCACCATACAGCAGCTGTACCCAAAGCATTTGCTGTCTGCTGGATCTGTGAGAAAAACAGGTGGGAGCTTCCTCTCCTCAGTGCATCTTCGCACTGAGAGCAGAAGTGCTGCACTGTCAGGCCTGGAGCACTGCTTTCAGAATGCTGCCAATGGCCAGAGGTCTCTGGGCCAGCAGATGGGACGATCTGGCCCTATGCTCTTGCAGAGAACTCAGACTTCTAAGCACAACCAACATTCTTCTACCTATCTCCCTAAGAACTTCTCTGCAGATAATAAGAAATTATATTAGTGCCCATCTGTGGGAGCCTCACAGAAGAAGAAAAGAAGAGGCATGCCATGTACGACAGTCACCGCGTGGAGCACGGCTCTGCGGCAGCCTGCCCCAACAGCCAGCATCTCCAGCCTCTCCCCTACCTTTAATGCCTTGTTCGGTTTGGGATTAGTCGTCATAACCTGAGCACAGTCTTCTGGACAAAACCGCTCAGAAATTGCAACTGGAAAACACAAAACAAGATTTTTGAGTTAGACTCGGACGTGAAGGCAGGTTAACAGAACAGCAGTCCTGAACCCCAGCTCCAAAACCCCGCCAAAGGAAATAAAACCACACAAGGAAGGATTCAGAGATCAGTCCACCCCATATAGGTCTAAGAAAGAAAAATCTGTACGGATAATCACGTTGCTGCTTAATGCTCAAGCCCTTATATTTTGTTTTTAAGCACACTGAGGACAGGGCAGGGAGGGAAGGACGTGGCTCACACCGCAGTCGTGCAGGCAGCCATGCACTGCCCAGGCCCCACTGTCTCCCCTCCCTCCAGAGGCATCCAGACACTCCGGACGCCCTATTAGGGACTGATTGAAGAGTTAACTCCGCTCATAAAAGGCACCGAAAAGCCACAAGACAACAACTCCATTCTCATTTCGATGCTTATTAACCCAGCTTGACACTGAATCAGCAAGGCAGAAATAAGCTGCCTGGTTTGTCACCTGCTCCCAGCACCGTCCCCACCCAGCGCTCCCAGAAAACCCAAACACCAGAAACAAAAGCCCCCCGTGATGACAAAGCAGGCAGCAGCTCTGCTCTCCTGCCGCTGACGATGCTCACAGCCCAGCAGCCTGATGCTGTCTGGCGAGGCGGGCGCGTGTCCACCGACAGCATCCTCCGCCAAGGCGCTGCCCTTCACGCTCACCTTAGCCGAGGACAACACCCAGCCGCAGCTCAACGTCCCCCCCCTAAAACCATCACCCTACAGCACCGCGGCACAGCAGGCACCGGGGTACCTACCCCGGGAAGGGTGGCCTCAGCCCTTCCACCATCACCGCCTCCGCCCGTCTCTCCCAGCCGGCGGGGCTCCACGCCGCGCCGGTCCGCCCCGACGCGCGGCTCCGAGGGCTGCGCAGCCGGCGGCACCGCGTCTGTCTGCCGGAGTCCTCTCCTTCTCTCTCCCCCTCTCCCCACCCCTACCCAGCCGGGCCCAAACCCTCCCCATTTTCACGTCTGCATCGTGTCACACATCCTAATCATTCATGAAAAATCCAGCCAAAGCATCCCAAGCATGATTCCCGTCTGATAGTTGCCATGGTGACCTTGGGAAAGTAGCCAACCCCGAGACAGTCGTCATGGCAACAGAGAAGCCCAAAAGCAATAATGACTTCAGGTCATGTCTGTGCAAAGACATCACCAAGTCGGCGGAGAGTAAACAAACTCATTCATAGCTGCGAACGGGGGGCGGAGGGAGCGGGGTGCCAAGGTGGGCAGCGAGGCTGCAGGAAACCACCCCGGCTGTCGGGGCGTGCATTTCGGTTCCTCCTCTTTTGCAGCACGAGACAGCCCCGTGTCACACAGCTGCCAGAGGGCCAAGGACAGCCACGCTCCCCAGTCCTGCTCTGTGATGAATGGAGCTCGGAGCAACCAGCACGCAGCACCTCCCCGAGCCCCACTCTGCTCTCCTCCCCGCATGCGGCTCCAGCAGCTCCTCCTATGGCACCAATCCCCGCAGACCCCACAGACCCCTCCATCGCCTGGCATCTCACTGACCTGCACCAGGCTTTGCCTTCAGACCTCAGCGCTGCCCTCCACCCGTCCTCCTCCTCCTCATCGCTTCCCCTCCGCCGCCCACCCCCATGTCCAGGCAAGCACGGAGGAGGAAGGAAAAGCTCGGACGGCCGAGGGGAGCCGAGCGCTGCCAGTGCGTAAAGGAAGCGGCCGGCAGCCCCCTCCCTGCACGCCGCGCAGGCACTTGGTGCCATAGTTATGCAGTGAGTCACCAGCTGTTTACAGAGCACAGCTCGCATTCCCACAGCATCAGGAACTCTTCCTCCCCTCGGTATCCCCCCCCTCCTCCCTTCGCCGCCCCCAGGCCCTACAAGGATGGGGTGCGATGGGGTGCGCGGCGCGGCCGGAAAAGGGAAGGTTGAAGTGGGGCGGCTGCACAGAACGGCTTTGATCTGCGCCCAGCGGGGCTTCAAAGCACCGACGGAAAAACTGAATGGGGCGTGAGGCGACGGAGAGCTGCAGCGCGCCGTGAAACAGAAGCGGGCAGAGGTGGGAGCCCAGCGCTGGGGCGGCCATTCTGCCACCTGCCACCCCGTGACATCAGAGCAGCGCTGCAGAGCAAGGCCTCGTCCTGCACGGCACTGCGGACAGACCCGACTGTGCTGTGCCGTGCGCCAGAGCTGCTGCTGGCACCGGGGCTGGAAGGTGGCTGGGCACGGTGGGAATGGCTCTCTTCGAACATGGATGGGAGCGCGTGCCACCTGCGGCCGGTGGAGCTGCTGGTGTGTGCTCCTGACATGGAACCAGGGGGTGTACCAAGCTGTAGGAACCCACGTGGATCACCGAGTCCAACTCCCAGCTCCACACAGGGCCTCTCAAACCCAACCCCAAACCCAACCCCTATGGCTGACAGCAGTGTCCCAGTGCTCCCTCAGCTCAGGCTGTGCCCACCGCCCTTCCCCAGCTGCCTCCCTCCCCTGGCAGCTCTGCACCACTCCCTCAGGTGCTGGCACTGAACCACATCTCTGCACTGACCAAACCCTGCCCACAGGGACCACCTGCACTGTTCAGCTCCCAGTGACGAGGTACCCCCAGAGTTAGGAGGCAAAAGCCCCAGGGTAACAGCCAATCACCCCACAGACACCAGGTGGTGTCCCCCAACCACGCTGCTTCAGGCTGCGCTGGGACACCACCTGCAATTTGATTACTACAACCCTTTTAGTCTTTGCCCTATTGCTTTCCTTAATTGCATTTGCTGCATCATGTCTCAAATTAGGAGCTCAGCTTTTTGGAACAAGGACTGCATTACATCTTTGCCCTGTAAGCAGCGTGACACACTTAGGACACTACATAAATAAAGCAGTGAGTAGTAATACACCAACGGTACGTGCAAAGGCTTGGGATTCACAGCCACTGTTTTGACTGTGGGTTACATAAAGAGCCCTTGTAATTCTGCAATAAAGTTATCCATCAGCAGCCTTGCCAACGCCCTCGCCCTCTCTCAGACTCCTGTGCCATTGGCAGCACCCCCAGAAATAAGGCACCCCAACGTCTCGATGCTGAGGATCTGAGCTCGGAGCACCTTGTGATTGCAGTGCTCTGAAGGGGAAGGCAGCAGAAAGCCGAGGCAGAGCAGAGCTCTCCATGTGAGGTTCGCAATTAAGGCGAAAGGAAACATGCCAGAGTGCAACTTCAGACTTTCCACGCTACGGGGCTCTCACAGCGCGTTACGCACTGAGGGATTACCATAAAGTCAATGCCGACACCCAACGTCTGAGGATGAACTCCAGTTTTAAAGCTCTTTCTACGCCTCACGAAAAGCCTGGCCAGAACACGAGGGCCTGGCAGGCAGCCCTGCTGGTGTTTAGCTTCCATCCTGAGACGAGCACAGCAAACTGAAAACACGCAGCCCTCACCTTCAGCCGGGCCAGCAACAACTTCCCGAGGGCAGAAAAACAGCAAAGCGCTCAAGCAGCAGCAGCAGCAGCAGGGATCTTCGCCATCGAACCTTAGCACAGAGCTGAGTTATATGGGAATACTCCTCTCATTCCCAAACACAGGGACTGGATTCCCAGGCAGCTGCTCCAACAAATCACCCAAATATCAGGTTCACCCCTGAGTTATCCTCAGCTCCAGCTGCGTTTACTGAGAGCACCTCCAGAGCCAACAGGAGGAGGCAACTCCAGTTCTCATCTCCGCACCACTGCAGCACCATGCGGATCAGTGTGCCACACAGCCCCATCCCTCAGCCTTCAACCCTCTCCCCACCCCGACAGCCTTCACGCACCCCATAGGGCAGACTGATGCTTGTCATTCATCTGTAAGGAGAGAGGGGAGGGCTGCGCTCCGGGTGTGAATCAGACAGCAGGAGCATATGCAAGGCAATATATTTGACATGAACAGAGAGAAGACACACGGAGGGGTGAGTCACTGTTTACTGTTCTAGAGGAGCTCCGCACAGCCCTCGCCCAGCTGGCCAGCTTTCCATTTCCCTTATGGATCGGAACCAGCATCCAGCAGCAGAGAGGAGCTTCACGAACCTTCAGAGCAAAGGCGAGAGCTGCCAGAACACGGCGCTATGAGGCGCTCTCTGGGGAAGCCTGGACGGAGATCAGACAGCCCTTGGTGGTTGGGTAAACAGCCTCGTCAGATGCTGCAGAGCCTGCGGTCAGCGAGCAGAGCACCGGGAGGGCGCAGCGCACTGCACCACGTCACAGCTGGGACCTCGGGGAGGTGGTGGCTGAAGGGGACAGGTATGCAACAGACAGAGCTGGTGTTCACCAACCACAGGATGCAGCACTTTTTCCATCACACAGGGGGCAGTGGCAGAGCTACACCAGAGTCACAACATCTCAGCACCGCTAGCCCAGGCAAGCTGAGCCTGCAAGCAGCAGCCAGCTCACCCATACACAGAGCAACGAAGGACAGGTCAGGATCCCCAGTGTCCCCATGCCGTGGCCAGCCAGCAGGTCGAACACCTTCACCTGCTGCACAGCAGCGTGGCACTCAGTCCTGCAGCAGCACAGAGCAGGGATTTGCTACGCCTGCTATCCCGCTGCTCGGGAGCTCAGCAGCAGTGGGACGGCTCCCGCCTCTCCCCCAGCCCTCGTGTTTATGGCCGTGGAGCTGCATGGCTTTGCGCTTGCTTCATGCTTGGAAGGCTCTCCGCTCGGGTTTGAAGATAGCCTGAAACAATAGCTCAGACAGAAGTGGAAACTGCCGGCTCATCTCGACAGGGTGCTGAGCTGGAGACTTCCTGAGAATTGAAAGCGCTCGCGCCGCTCGAGCACTTCACAGCTGGATGTTTACAGCACGGCCAGCTCAGCCCACGGCCCCCGAGTGCTGCCGGGCCAGAGCTCCCAGCTGTCCCCTCCTGCTGCCCAAACACAGCCAGAGCCTCACGCTGCCCACTCTCACACCGCCCGGTTTCACAGCGCATTCCACACCATTAATCACTTCCCAGCACACGGGGCGTATTGTGCTGCTCTCAGCTTTCCCTTTCGGAAGGCACACGCACGGCACCAACTCAACTGCGAGCTGCAACAGATTGCCGAGGGAGCACGGGGATGGGATGAAACACAACAAAGCAGAACGAGGGGAGAGCAAAAAGCTGACAGTTGGCCACCTGGCTCAGAAACACCTCCGAAGAGGGGCGTGAGCTTGCACCAGCATAGGTACAGACATGTAGCGAGCCAAGATGAGCCGCCAGCTATGGAGAGCCGCCGTGCCCCGTCCTCGTGGTGATTGCGACGACAATTAATTAGCGCCCAGCACCCCATCAGGTGCAGGCAGAGTTAACTCTGCTGCCTGCCGGCCCTGTGCAGCGCCATTGGGCAGCGGCAGCGTCCATCACAGCGAGGAAGTGACTGCGTGGGGAAGGAGCTGTGCTGTGCTGGGGGACGCGGAAGGAGAGGGAAAAACACCGACACGCAGCGCTGCGAGCGGACACTGCCAGGTAACGAATGCTGCAGAGTGCCGGGGTGCATCGATGGCATTGATGGCAGCGATGGCACACAGCTGCCCTCCAGCACATCCCTCCCGACGGCTGTGCCCGTTCCCAGCCCTGCTCGGGCTGCCGGCTGCGCTCAGAAGGCAGGGGCAGGTGACAGCAATATAGGGGCCCTGTAGCTTTCTGTGACAGCGCTGCCCAACGGGCCCGTTCCCAATTCGGGACCTGGTGGCCTGCTTTTGGCGGAGCTCTGGGACAGCCCCGCGAGAGAGGAGCGGGAGGAGGGCGGCACTCCTGCAGCTCTGCTCTCGGTTCCCCTCCCCGGCGGCCCCACGCTGCTCTCCGGCTCTCATCCTCCCCATCTCCACGCGGAGCTCGGAACGGGTTTTCCCCCAGCCCCGTTTCTGAGCAATTACAACACATCATCATCACCATCATTATCACCACCGTACTAAAATCCCCAGCCGTCCCGCGCGACGGCGGCTCACACGAGGAGGACGCTGAGGGTCACGGATCCCCGCAGCGCTGCGCGTGGCCGTGGGCCGGCTCGCGCACCCAGCCTCCAGGCGCGGCACCGCGCGGTATTTCCAACCGCCCGCCGTCACCACAACAGGTTGTGCCCGCTCTATTTTAAGCGGCGTTCGTGGATCCAAACGCGGCACCGAGCGCGTGCAGCGCGGCCCCGACTCGCGGCAACTTTCTTTCGGCGGAGGGGAGCGGGGAGGACCCGCGCCTCCCCCCGCCACGTGCCGCCGGGCCCGGTGCCGCGCGGCCCGCGCGGGGCGGCGGCCCCACGTGCCGGCGCGGTGGTGACTCAGCACTTTCCGCTCAGTCTCCGCGGGCGCGACCCCGCCCGGACGGCACCGAACGGGCACGGCGGGGCCGCGCCGCGCCGGTTCCCCCCTCCCCAGCCTCGCAATACCTTCATACCCAACCCCCCCCCTCTTCCCCGATCGCGAGTGGCGGCGGAGGCAGAGCCGCGCGGCCCCCCCACCCCCCGGCCCCACCCCGCCGCCGCGCCCGCGCCCGGTGCTCACCTGCGTGCCGGCGGGAGCGCGCGCGCGCCCGGGGCGGGGGGGGCGGCGGCGTGCGGCGGGGGGCGGCGGCGGGGGCGCTGCTGGGGCTCGCTGCCTCCCTGCGCGCCAGTCCCGCGGACAACAACAAGCGCGGGGCGGCCCCCTCCCCCCCGCCGCGCCGCCGACCAACCAGCGCCCCCGCCGCTTCCGGCATGGCGCGTCACCGCGCGCGTCACCCCCGGCCCGCCCCGCCTCGCTCCGCCCCGGCCGCTCGGTCGCGTCACCGCCGGCCCCGCCCGCGCGGTTCATTCATGGATGGGGAAGGGGACGGGGTGGTGACGTCACGAAGCCACGCCCCCTCGATCGCCGCCGCGCTGCGTAGCGCCGCGCCCCGCGCTCGGGCGGTCGGACGCGGGACTGCGGGGCGCGGGGTTGGCGCGAGGCGGCCGCGATGCCACCGGGGCGGCTCCTGGCCGGGCCTCCGTTTGCGGTGAGCCTGAGCCGCTCCGCTCCGCACCGGTCCTCTCTGGGGAGCTGCCGTGCCCGCAGCACCGTCCCGATGGCGTTTCGAATCGCCGTAACGTCCAACAGAAAGAAAAATGGCCCAAAGATCAGAGAATCGCAGTGTCGTTAGGGTTGGGAAAGACCTCGAAAGTCACCAAGCCCCACCACAACCCGTCCCCACCGTGGGCACCAAACCCTCGGTGCCGCGCTTTGCAGCACCTCCAGGACCATCGGCCCCGCGGCTCCGTGTGCAGCAGTGCTATTGCATCACCGCTCCTTCTGAGCAGAAACTTCTGAGAGCCAAGCTGACCCTCCCCTATTGCAATGCGAGGTCAACACAGGTGGCTGAGCAAACCCAACAACCTCCATCGAAACCGGACTCCCATTGCGTTTATGAGCAGGGCTATTTACGGCTGCATTGCGAAGCCAGCGCTGGCTCTTTGCAGTTTGTGCTTTCCAGCCTCAGGGCCAAACCTCCTCAAATAGCCACAGCTGAGGGCCGCCGTCAGGCTTTGCGTAAGGTTTCACCTTTCGCCGCTCCTTTTGCACAACGTGGGGAGCCCCACGTAGGGCACAGCAGGAGAGTGTAGGGAAAAGCGGAGCGTTGGAAACCTCCGGTGCTGGGACAGAGCTAACAAAGTGGGTTAAAGCTTCCAGGCGGCGGCACGGAGCTGCAGTACTGCTGGTCTCACCTCTCCCGTGTTTGCAGACTGGTTAAAATCTGGCCCTCTGGCTGAGTCCTGCTGGGCTCAGAGTTCAAGGGCAGTTCCGAGCCAGCCCTGTGCTCCGTGCTGAGTTCTGGATGTGTTTTGTATCCTCATCTCCCTTTCCAGCTCACAGAACCCAACAAAGGACAGGAGACCCGTGGCCACCGTGTCCCCCTGCGGCTGCCCACCCTGCTGTGCATTGCGGGTGGGTGGGGGATACAGAGATCCTGTTGCATCCAGGGCTTCTCCCTCAGCTGGTGGCTGTGTCTTACGTGTGGTCTCTCCCTCTGCAGTGACCCAAAGTGGGACATTCTGCCCTGGCTTTGCAAGGATGGGATTGAACATACTGCGTATGGCTTGGGAGGGGGGTTGTTGAAATTCAGCTTCTGGGTGAATTGGCCATTCACGACAGATCTGGATTTTTGTTTCCATTCCCGGAGAAAGCAGCTTTGCTCCAAAGGTCTGTTGTCCTTTGCTGCTGACCTTTGGACTGCAGTGGCCTTCAACAGCAAACGAGTGGCTCTGATCCCCTGAGAGTGCAAACCTGGCTGTTAGCATGCACACACACCCACTCCTTAGCCAGGAGAGTGTGAGCACAGGGCAGAAAGTGCACTTGGTGAAAAATGAAGGGACGAAAGGGGCCTTGCTTTGGGGATGTGGGGAACCTGTGGGGCAGCCCTCGTGCTGTGTGCTCAGAACAGGCACCATGGAGCGCTCAGCACAGGCATCTCTTCCACCCTCTGCTTGGGCTGAAACACTGAAACGCTCTGATCCTGAAAAGGGGAGGCTGGAAATGTGAATGTGCAGGCTCTCGAGACCCAATGTGTACACAGGAAAATTGGAAACAAATCATTCACTTCCCATGTTCTCCACCACGGGGCTTTGGAACAGCACTGAGCGTGGACCCATCGATATATACAGACACACTAAAAGTGCGCAGCAAGCAAAGCAGATGAGAGAGCAGCTGAGAAGTCAGCGCGTTAGCAGGCGCTGCTATTAGAAAGGAGCGGTAGGCGCTGGGCAATTGCTCGGAGTTTTACGGCGGAGCAGGCAGGGCTGCGCTGCTGGGAGCCCCGAGCCCGTGCTGCCCGCATCGCCGCCCGCAGCCACAGTATCAAGAGGACACACGTGGATGTAAGCGCCTGGGTTGTGCCCCCCGGGCTGGGCTGGGGGCCCCGCATCCGCCCTTGCACTTTTTGGCAGGGCTGGCTCTGCGCCCTCTGCCCGAAAGGCCATTGCTGCGTCGCCGTGGCCTGGCGTGAGCGCGCGTGGCCGGGCAGGTGGCGTGCCGAGCAGGTTGGGATCGATGTGCAGAGGCGGTCGGGTGTGCATGCAGGGGGTGAGGGCACCCGCTGCGTCCCGTCCCCACCAGCAGCCCCACGGCACGGGATGGGTGCCGAGCGGGGTGCTGAGCGGGGCGGGCCATTTTGGTGCAGGGCCAGGGGAGGGCCGACGGGGATAAAATCCGCTCTGCAGCGAGGGGCACCGCGCTGAGCTTGTGCAGATTAGGAGAGCGAGGTCTGGGCTGGAGGTGGGCAGGAGAAAGTTGCGTCCTTGTTTATAGCTCTGGGACTGCGCCCTGCAGGCAGCAGGAGCGGGGGCTCTGCTTCGCTTGCAGTCTGGAAGACGTTTGCCTGAGAAGTTTCTAAAATCGTATGTTATCAGTGGGAGGCAAACACTGACGGCATATTCCCTGCTGTCCTCCCTAGGCTGAAAGGTCTGACTCAGGGCTTTGGGCATGAGCAGAGGATGCTCAGAACAGAGGATGCTCCACACCTCACGCTCCCAGCACTGCTACTGCCCCAGTGGGTGGTTGGGGACTCGCTTTTGCTTGTCAATCTTCTGGAAATGCCACAACCCATACATTCAGACCTGGGCAAAAATCTTTGCAGGAACAGTGCCACCACCCCAGACCCAGAGCGTGTGGAGTTCGGTCTGGTGGTCCTTGGGGGTGCAGCAGAGCCTCATGGCTGCCTCTGTGCTGTAGTGGGGCTAGGCATGGGCAGCTCCAGAGAAAGCCATCAGTGCCATGAGTTTGCAGAGCACATCTCAACCAATGCAGAAAGCTCTGCATCAGGCTCAGGGAAGCCTTGCATGAACTTCCTCTGGCCACTTCCCACAACCATGCACTCTTCATCTCTCTCCCCTCACTGCAGCCCCAGGACAATGAGGTCGTACCAGAAGCTGAGGACATCGGTGCCACAGCTGGTATTGAGCCAGGAGGAGGAGGAGGAGGAGAATTCAACCAACCCGACAGCTGCTGGCCGCAGCAAGCTGGCCCCATGGTGGGTGGGCAGCGGGCTGCTGATCACCGCCGTGCTGCTGAGCACCATCACCGTCTGGGTGCTGCGACAAGTATCCAGGGGCTGGCATGGCCCTGCACCACCTTCCCAATGCCACCTGGTCCCTGAGAGCCACCGCTATGACTGCTACCCCGAGAGGAGCGTGGTGGTGACCCAGGAGCTGTGCGAGAGCCGGGGGTGCTGCTTCATCGAGACCCTCCCTGCAGTGGGGGGCAAACGTGGGGTGCCCTGGTGCTTCTATCCGCCCAACTTCCCCAGCTACGTGGTGCAGAGCCTCAACCAGACGGCGCTGGGCATGACGGGGCTGCTGGTGCGCAGGGAGAAGGCCTATTACCCCAAGGACATCCAGGTGCTGAGGATGGACGTGGAGTTCCAGACGAACACACGGCTGCGCATCAAGGTGAGCGTGCCTCCAGCTCCCTTCCAGAGCTCTGCACTCTGTACCACGTCTGTAGGTGACGTCCCCTGCTCAGAGAGAGGCTGGCAGCTGCTTTGCTCCTGACACGAACACGTGTCCTCAGTGAGCATCTCCAGCCCTCCTGTTTTGCTGGTGTTCATAGTGTCCTTTTTCCCCGTTGCAGATAACCGATGCAGCCAAGCCCCGGTATGAGGTGCCCCTGGAAGTTCCCCGAGTGATGAAGAGAGCAGAAAACCCCATCTACAGCCTGGAATTCTCCCAGGATCCCTTTGGGGTGCTGCTGCGACGCCAAGGGACAGGGACAGTGCTGTAAGAGCCCACCTTCTCTATGTGTCCTTCCCTCAGTGGGATTCAGCGTGCCTCCCTGAGGGCTTTCCTTAGGGAAAAACACACCTACACATCTCAATCCATCAGTTATCATTGCTTTCATCCTTGCTGCAAACTCTGGTGCTCACATGGGGACGCAGCAGCACGTGGCTTTCTGGCCATGCTGGACTGAGTGGGATCAGCACCTACTCCCAAACCAGCACAGTACCCCAAATTTCCACCGGTGTCATGGAGCTGCTCCAAACTGTGTCTTGAGTGAGGCACAGCCCTGGGATGCGGGACCCCAGCGTATCACCAGGGATGGACCTGGAGGCTTGGGGAAAGGACCAGCAAAGGGCTGCAGCTCTGCCTGCTTGGCCTTGCTTTTGGGGTTCTCCAGAGCTGTCTATGGTGTGGGAACTCCCCAGCAAGCGCTGGGTTCAGGCTTTTGGGGAAAAAAATACCAGTGGATTCGCTGTGCTGCTCCAGTCTTCTCCATGGCTTTGCCTGAGCTGAGCCACAGCGAGCTGCAGTGCTCAGCATAGGGCAGGTTGTCCCAGCACTCCCCCAGATCCTGTCCTGTCCTCCTCCCTCCCATTTTGGGCCCTGTGGTCTGTCTTTTCCTCAGGAGCTGCTTATCAGCAAGGGCAGACAGAGAACTCCCTGGCTGCATCGCCTCGGTGGTTAATTATAACCGGAGTGGAAACTGCCGGTGTCAAATGAATGGCTGTGCGGGGTTGGGCTGGCTGGGGTCAGGATGTGCCACCACCCAGACCCCAGTCTGCCCTAACAGGACTGGGAATGGGATGGGATGCACTGCTTTGCTGACATCGAGATGCTTCTAGAGGGAAGGGCA